TTGGCGACTGAACAACAAAGATACTGAGGTGAAGGCCTTTGTGCACAACTCCTAGGGCTGATATTTAACAACAGGAAGTGGAAAAGCTGCCTTTTTCATTTTAATTGTTTAAACACCCAAGGGTTTCTGGCTTCTTCAGAGCAAAGGAAACTTGAAATAGTGATAATATCATACAAAGGAAATTTCCTGTATTCCATCCCACTTTATCCTTACAGTCACTAGGCCTGGACTTTACCTCTAATTTACAAAGAGAGAAACTGGAGGCTCTGGGAAGTCTAGCAACTTGCCCAGTGTCCACCGGATGCTAAGTGACAGAGCTGGATGAACCTAGGACGGTCAGCCTCCAACCCTCCTCTAAGGTGATCACACACTCTAGGCTTTCCAGCTTCTGCAGTGGCTTTCAAACCACACTCGGGGCCCTGACCTTCTGTAAAACTGCCCACGGCCACCAGAGAGGTGGGCCGAGGCTGAGGGGACAGAGATCCAGAGCCCGCTACTCCTGTTCCAACCAATAGTATTAATAGTTAGGTGAGGTGATAGCTGTCAGCTGACCTTAGTATGGTGATCATTTTGCATTGTAGGTGTATCAACATTGTACCCCTTAACCTTACGCAATGCCATAGAGCAACTTCATCTCAATAAAGCTAGTGTTGTTGGTCATTCAGTCGTGTCTGACTCTTGCAACCCCATGGGCTGTAGCCCGTCAGGTTCCTCTGTCCACGGAAATCAAGAATACTAGAATGGGTTGCCATTTCTCTTTTTGAGGGGATCTTCCTGACCCAGGGATTGAACCCAGGTCTCCTGCACTGCAGACAGATTCTTTACCATCTGAGCCACCAAGAAAGCCCCTAATAAAGTTGGGGATGGGGAGGGTGGTCAGATGAATAAACCTTGGTTAGTAGATCTGGAGGTACTTGGCAAGGTGCCAGAAGCTTTCAAAACCACAAAATCATCCCAGAGCAGAAACTTCATCCAAATATAGGAAGCAAGACATTTTTATGCTAAAACACATATGGTCATTTTATGAAAGATAAAACAACATTTGGATAAATAATTAGGACAAAACACACAATTCACATCCCAAAGAAATGTCCAGGCTCACCATTTGAGGCCATGGCCCAGGGCCTATATGCTTGCTCCCCGTCCTCTAAGCGGAGAGTGGGAAGCCCAGTCTCACAGGACAGCGTGTTCATGCGGGAACCAGCCTGTCCCTTGGGAAGCTGAGGGTCCTCAGGGACCTGGGGCCTGGCGGGGAGCTCCCTGGGCACTGGGGGAAGAGGAGGGGGCAGCAGGCCTTGCAGATGGGTAGGCTTTGGAAAAGCAGAGAGGACATTCCAACACAGGGGAAATTCAGTCCCTAAAGACCCCTTCACTGGAGAGGCACAACCAAGACCCCCCACAGAAGCTTTTAGGACCTTGCTCTGGGGCAGGCAGCTGGGGGGAAAGCTCAACACCCCATACACGAACAAGTTCATCATTGCCTGTAACTGCAAAAACCTACAGAACACACCACAGTGCCATTTACAGCACATCAGTCTGATGCACCAGCATCGTTAGGAAGGTAGAAGCCTATTTATTGGTACGGAAAGACCTAGCTAAAAAAAAAAAAAGCAAATTACGGAATGGCGCACATTAACACAATCCCATTTTGTTAATACAGCATATGTAACCAGAAGCATATACCTTCATGACAAAAGGGCTTTTAAATGTGCTTTTAATTTTTCTACGCTAATTGTGTATTATTTGAGTTACAGTTAAAAATGTTCCTAGCAGAGTATTTCCAGCCAAAGGCAGAACTATTATGGGAGAACTTCACCTTTCTTAGAACTGTGAAATCTCTAAAACAGAAAGTTAAATATGAAAACTATGCTCCACATGGAAAGCGATGGTGAGAACATTAAGGGAAAAAGCAGAGTATAAAAGGCATGTGTGCTATGTCTGCAGTTATGCGGATCAGCCTGGGACAGGGATGCACACAAAAAAACACAACTCTGCAAAGAGGAGAGTGGCTGGGTGGCGAGGGTTTTTTGTCTATCTTAAGGTACTTTCTAATGGTGTAGTAACGCCTCTTTCCCTAACCAAAACCAGGTTTAACAGACAAAGGAAAACCAGGCTTTGTGCCATGGCTTGCACCCTCCCAGCAGCCCTGCAGTGGAGCAACAGCGCCCCACAGTGGCCACAGCAGGAACGGCCAACACCTGTCACCTGGAAACGTGGCTGTTCCCCGGAGCGCCAGGGCCTGGCCCAGACGGGCGCTCAGGGCGGGGTGGCTGGGAAAGCAGAGATGCTGCATCCACAGAGGAACGGAGGGCACAGGCTGGAGAAATGAGCACGCAGAGCATACGACTCCTGCAAAGATCAGAGTGTTCCTCACCGCAGGGTGGGGTGGGCCGCACTGCACCAAGAGGGTTAACAGGCCCACCTAGGGGTCCCAGGAGAGGCCGAAGGGGAAGCTGACTTCAAGGCAGGGCTCTGCCACACCTAAAGCTCTGGCCAAGCGCCCGCTCAGCTCTGCCCTCTATGTTCCCATCTGTGAAAGGGGGGATACTCCTAGGGTCCTGCTGGAAGACTGGATCGAGGGCCAGAGCATGGAGGTGGCATCAAGTCCCGACTCTGCCATTTGGGGCTGGATGAATGTGGATGAATCACCAGACCCCAAACATCAGCCTCTTCATACACAGAATGGGCCTGATGCCAGGGCCAGCTTCCTAGGGCACCATTTCCCAAGCCAGATCCACAACGGATCCAGAAAGCAATGTGGTGAGTCACGGCCTTTTAAAAAAAATAGAATAGAAAATATCTATCCATGTAAAGGCTAATCAATTCCTGGCACTTAATACATTCTCCAAAAATGTTAGTTTTTATTATTCCCAATGGAGGCAACAGCACTGACTATTGTCACATCGGTTAAGAAAAGACTGACAGAAGGTCAAAAGCCTCTGGGATTCCTTTCAGGTGCTCAACTCTCCTCGGATTCAGGAAGGAGGCCCCTGAGTGCAGAGCTGGGGATGGCACTGGGGGGCCAAAGTTGGGGTCCCTGGACAGTCAGCACCTTGCCCAACAATCTGCTACTGAAGTAAAAGTAGGAAATTAAAGCCAGCCCTTGCCAACCCCAAAGAGCATTTTCCTACCCAAAAAAGGAGTCGCTTTGCTAAGCACGTCTTTCAGCCAAAGGCTGGCACAAACCACGCAAGCCCATCTCAGTCTGACGGCAAGTAACATGTAGTTACTCAGAATGAGAGAGAATGAGTTCAAACAAATACAGACCAACACGGCCCTTGGGCTGCCCAAGGCAGATAATGAACTTCTCCCAACATGACCTCACTGTTGCTCCCACAGGGCCACTGACCCCCTCCCAGGTCAAGGCCAGCATGGGGGGGCTGGGAGGGGCCTGACTCCTGGGCACCAAGGGGCTACAGGGCCTCCAGCTCTTGTCTCCAATCTCCCTGAACACCAGGGATCTTTCTCAAGTCTGGCTCCTTGGCCCCTCTAGGCTGGCCTCATGGTGACCCTGCGACCACAAGTCCCCATGTGCCCACCCGCAACATCACATAGGATAGGAAGTCCTGCGGGCAGTGGTCTCTGGATTGCACTTTCATGCTGTTGAAGTTGAACTTGCCTCTGCCTCATCTCTCTTTGGCTCTAATTTTTTTCTGGAACAGGACTTGCCAGACAGGCAGAGACAACGTCACCCTGGGTCTTCGGTCTGACTCTGCGGAGGTGGAGGGGCAGAAAGACGGGGCCATGACATCTAAGCCACTTACCCTACACGAGAGCCCCAAGAGACCAGTTGCCATCACTACCTTGTGCTTCTGCTGCAGAAAACTGGAGGAGAGGGATAAACTGCCAGGACTCCAGCCCAGGCAGTTGGCTCCGAGGTCTCGGACAGGATTCCGAGCTCCATTTGTACCCCAGCACCATTGTTCCCCAGCCCTCTGACCGTGGGCAAGGCATCTGGCCCCTGCAGACGTCAGTCTCTTTAATATGTCAAATGACATGACAACGGCTGTTTGCGGGGCGGGCTGTCAATGAGACACGGGAGACAAAGGGCACGGTACAACACCTGGTGCGCAGTAGGTGCTCAAAACCAACAGTTTCCACCTTGTTTCTTGCTCATTTGGGCCAAGAAGTGAGGGTCCTGGGCGGGGTGGGGGGTGATGGTGTTGAGTCTGTCTGCCTCCCCTATCTCCTTCTGGTTGGGAGGTCCTGCCCACCACCTCAGCCGGTGCCTATTGGAGGGGCCTGGGGACCAGATGTCTGGTTCCCCAGTCTCATCTAGCCTGCAGCCCCTCCCCCAGCTCAGGGTGCTCACCATGGGGACTCAGGGGCAGCTCACTGATTGGTGGAAGGCAGTCAGAGGGCCAGGAAAGGAGATGGAAGAGGAGGGTGCCAGAGTCAGGACACTGTGGGGCCTTGAAGACCACAGCTAGCTGTCTCTTCTCCAGTACATGTGCGTGTGCACGTGTGTTCACGCATGTGCACATAGAGAGAACCACAGTCTACACAGGCTGACTCTACCTCCTTCCATCACTCTCAGCCCCTAAGGGGTCACCAGTCCCCTCCAGCCTTACCTTGGGGAGGCAGGGCCAAGGTAAACAGCCCCACCTTCAGGGCAGCGGGACCCCGGCCACGCGAAGCAAGTCACAGGCTCCACGATGAGCTGGACAGAGAATCCAGGCCTCCTGGGCCGGGTTCAGGATGTCTGGGCTGCTGAAGTGTCAGGGTTAGGGTGGCAGCTTGCCAGGCCTGAGTGCAGAATGCTGGGGGACCACCCTGTGACCAGGGAGGGGCAGGCGATACCTGGGTCCAGCCCCAAAGACCCAGGAGATATAGAGGATGAACAGAGCTGGTCCCCCTGAGTACTGGGCCCCCTCGGGGTGATGATCTAGGGAGACGAGTTTTCTCCAACTCCCAGAAGAGAGGGAGGAGCCTAGAGCAAGCCAGACAGTGGTGGTGGGGGGGGCCCCCCCCCCCCCCCCCACCCAGAAGGGGAGACATACCGCATGATGCCCAGAGGGTCCAGGGCCTCCTCCTCCTCCTCCGAGGATTTCCCTGCATCCCCACCCTGCTGGCCCAGCGTGGGGAGACCCTCATCTTCCACTCGGTCCTGCTGCTGGAAGAAGTCCAAAGCATCCTCGTCCCCTGCTTGGCTGTCTGCGTCCAGAACCGAGACATCTCTGCCACTGAGATCCGCGGCCCCGGGGGACCTGGTGCCTGTGGAGGGAGATGGAGAGGGTGCCTGACACCCACCGCCGGGAGACGAGGAGGCACCTCCCGGCACGCGAGCTCCTGCATCAGCACCAGGGCTGGAGGCCTCCTGCTGTGTCCTGGGACTAGGACGGCAGGTCTGTGTGGGTGAGTGTGGGCGGGCTGGTCAGCAAAGCATGGAGTGGAGCAGTTGTTACAAGCGGGAGCCTCAGAGAGACAGCGGTTCCTCAACCTCTGCAGCTCGGGGCCCGTCGGGACTACAGACTGCAGTCCACGGGCTGATGGCGGGAGACCAGCCAGTGTCTTGGTTCTCACAGAACAGTTCCGGAAACGACGTGCATGTGGTGGGGCACATCAGGGAGCTCTGCCTAGCCAACCCCTGATGAGACCTGCCCTGAGGGTCTAGACTAGGAACTCCATGAGGCCCAGCGAGCAGGTGGAAGATTCCAGAACAAACTGGGACAGCTTGACCACAAACTGACTTACACAAGCACTTCTCAAAGCGTGGTCCACTGGCGGGTGTCCACAATGAGGTAACTACAGAAAGGGGGAGCAAGCATCCAGAACTTCCATAGCACCTTGGAATGCTTGTCTGCGACAGATCGGGAATAAAAATGGTTAGCCCTTCCCCCACCGACGGTTTGAAAAGCGTGGGTTTAGAATGCTTAACTCTATCCAGTTACTGAACAGCGTACTTTTGAAAGCAGTGAACTTCTAAGACACATCACTCTGTGGGTAAAGAACCCATCAGTATTCCCCAGAGTGCCTGGAACACAGGATGTAATGTGTACACTGCTATGACATGTGGAACTAACTGGTATTGATTATGTTGTATTACGTTATGCTTTGTTATTTTATTAAGACAAATGTAAAATCCCTTTCAAAATCTCATGAACCTTCAGTTTCATGGGGTAAGCATCACACAAAGATCATTTTTACAGGTATGCTCAGTTGCTCAGTCGCATCCAACTCTTTGCGACCCCGTGGACTGTAGCCCACCAAGCTCCTCTGTTCATGGAATTTCACGGCAAGAATACTGGAGTGGGTTGCCATTTGACAAGTATAAATTCATTTAAATATTGCAAAAATCTCATGTGACAGATCCTAATTGTACCTTCATTTTAGAGATAAGGAAACCGAGGCACAGAGAGGCTAGGAAAGTCAGACCACCCGATCCTGCTTCCCCATAAGTGTGTGTGCATGTGCACGTGTGTGTGTGTGTCTGTGTGTGTGTGTAGGTGCTTTGGAAGGGGCTGGCCAGGAGAAAGCGGGAGGGGTCAGACTATAGAGAAGGCCCCTGGGTGAGCTCCATCTAGTACCCAGGCAGTCAGTCCTCCAAGGCTGGGTCCCAGGCCCCTTCCACCCACCACCCACGACCCCGGCCCACGCATGGCAGTGAATGAAGCCCACGTGCCTCAGCAGCCTGGCCGAGGTCTCTGGGCTGCAGAGGGTGCTGTGGACCACCCCCGCCCCCCTCCCCCCAGGGCAGCGAGGCCTCGTTCTGGGCCAGGGGCCCCTAGGGATTTGGGACAGGGCCTCAGGTACCTAAGAATTCCAGCAGCTCGGGGCTGCCTGCCAGCTCGGCATCCTTGGAGACACAGCGCAGAATCTCGTCGAACAGGGCCCTCCGCTCCCGGATGTCGCCCTCCCCAACAAACAGGACCTTCCTGGGGAGCGGGGGCAGGCTGGCCGTTGGGTAACGACTGCTGAGTTTCTGGTAAAACTCCTCAATGTCACTGTACTTTTTGGAGACCTGGAATGAGAGGAGCAGGTGGTTTCCTGAGTGAAAAGGGAAATCAGAGAGGGCTGTGTCCCGCCCCCCAACCCCAACAGAAGTCCCCACAAGGGCTTGGCTCCTCGGTGGGCCCTCCTCCGGGACCAGATGAAGGTGCCTCCCTCCCGACCCTCTGCCCCACGCCCTAAGCTTCCTGATCAACACTGAGCAGAACCCCCGAAGTCCCAGTGGCCCAAAGGAAGGATGCAATCATGGTGGATTCAGGGTCCTGTCACCAGTCTGGGTAGAGACACTTGATTCAGGGACTTGGCCTGCAGGTGACTGTGACCTACACCTCCATTCTGCGCTTCTGTGCATTAGTGGGGTGACCTCACGGTCTGGCCGGCTGTTAGGTCCTCTTCCGGCAATGAGCCACCTTTTCTCTGGGTCATTCTCCTGTGAACTAGCAACAGCCTTCGACAAGGCCGGTCCTTACAGTGCTCAGATGGTGGAGAACAGATATGGTAAGGCTGGTTTCTGGTCCTGGGGCCAGCCAGGACCCCTCTGCACACCAGAACCTCAGGAAGGCAGGCTGGGGCTCCTCCTGGCTGTTAGAAGGTGGTCCTCGGCCGTCAGAGTCACCCCCGGTCACTCGGCTTCCTGTGGAGCTGGGAGGTAACTGCTACCACCTCTCGGCCTCTCCCTGGAACTCCCGCTGCAGCCAAGGGCTCGTCCACTCATCAAGCTCTTGCTGTGCGTTTACTCCGCATGGGGACACCCAGCGTGGTCTCTGTCCCCGAGGCTCCAGGCTTCCAGTTAAGGGAGCAGCTGTAGGACTGGGGATCGGCGCCGTCATTGCGGTCCGTGTAAGCCAATGCAGGCACTCAGAGAAGTCACCCTCTCCACGCCACAGCCCACAGCCCAGGGTCCTCCCTTGTCCTGGACTCCTCTGTGCTCTCCCCGCACGCCGGGCCTGTCCCCTCAACTCCTTGGGAGCATTAGGGATGAACACAGATATGCCCACCTCTGCTCCCAGACCAGGGCTGTGCGGCCAGCACACACGGAAATGCTGCCGTCCCTGATGGGCTGTGGGGCGTCTGGATGCATTCAGACAAGGGACAGCCGGCAGTCCGGTCGCCCAGCTCTGTTGGAGCACACAGCCCTGGCTGTCGAGCATGGGCATCAGAGCCCCCAGGCTGGGAGAGTTCCAGATGCTGGCAGGTGGCTGGGGCACTGGGAGACTCCAGGAACCCCCAGTGGGGAGTCTTCTGAGACGGGGGACTGTGGCCTGCAGTTGTCATCACAGAGTTTGACTCGGGAGCTTTGCTGAGAACAGCTTTCAAGGAAGGCTTTCAAAGAAAGGTAAGAGCATCCTTTCACAAAAGTGATGCAGGCTCCAACTCCTGGTGGTCCCCCAAGCCTGACTCCACCAGGTGGGGGGCTCAGAGCTCCCTCTTCAGACCTGACTGCTCCATGCAGGCCAGGCCACCGGGCCCACCAGGACCCAGGCTCTGGGAGCCAGCGGTGGGTCTCCAGGGCGCTGGGGGTACCATGGACAGCCTGGGGTACCATCCCATCCCAGGCCCACACTCACCAGTGCTCCAAAGCTAGGGCTGCCACTCCTTTTAAGGAACAGAAAACAAAATGCTCATTCTTTTTTAAAGCTAAGTCATGAAACTTCAAAGAAAGTTCAGGTTTTGGGATACACCCCCAGATCTCATAGGGTGTAAATGCGTGCTTGGCTCCCACAGGTGGTTCAAAATGTTTGAGGGGCAACCCCCTGCGTGGGCACCCTTGCACACAGCCACCCATAGGGCAAAGGTATCACTGGTCAGGAGAAAGTGGCACAGGTGCAACCATGGAGGGGTCAGAGTTGTCCCCACACACCCTCGCTGGGAAGGCCAGCCAGGACCCAGCGTTGCCAGCCAGGGCCTCTCACGGGCCCCCGAGTGCTGCCTCTCTGTCTTGCCCAGGGACTTGGGTCTCAGATAGCTCTTCTTTGCTCCCATCTCTGAAAAACGTAGGTACTCTAAGCTCCATTGGGGTCAAACCAGATTTGACCCCACCCAGTGGAACAAAGCAGCTCCTACCTGCTATCACGCTGCACCTTGGTTCTCACCAAGAGTCTGTTTAAGAAGCAAATGAAAAAAATCACTCTTCAGACACTTTCCAGGATGTGCTGAATGTCTCTTAATCAAAAAAACTGTGCCATAACTTCTTATCTCTTAGAATCTAGTATGTGAAGTGTTAGTCGCTCAGTCGTGTCTGACTCTTTGCAGCCCCACGGACTATATAGCCTTCCAGGTTCCTCTGCCCATGGCATTTTCCAGGCAAGAATACTGGAGTAGGGTGTCATTTCCTCCTCCAGGGAATCTTCCCAACCCAGGGATCGAATCTGCATCTCTTGCGTCTCCTGCATTGGCAGGCGGATTCTTTATCACTAGCAACACCTTTTTGCACTGAGGCAATCAGGTGTTCTCTTGGCTTCATGAACTTGTCCACCCAATTCCTTTCCCCGGTTTGAGAGATGTTCTCCACTATCATTTCTTTAAATAAACTCTCTGCTCACTTCTCTCTCTCTCTCTCTCTCTCCTGCTTCTGGGACACTCAATATCCTAAGGTTGCACTTCCTAAAAGATTTGTATAGTTCTTGTAGAATTTTCCCTCTGTTCTTTTGAATCTTAATTCCCTTTCCTCTTCTAGCTGTATCATTTCTAGACTTTTATCTTTAAACTTGCTAATTCTCGCTTCCATATGGTCTTCTCTACTTCTAATCCTTTCTAATATATGTATTCTTCATCTCACTTACTGAGTCCTTCAGATCCAGAATTTCTGTTTGGCTCTTTTTTAGAGTTTCAATCTCTTTGGGGAAGTATATCTTCTGCTCATTAACTTCATTCCTGAGTTCTGAGTTTTCTTGTTGCTTGTTGAGCTTCTTCATGAAAGTCGTTTCGAATTCTCTATCAGGTTGCACTGTTCTGGGACTTTAAATTTAGTTTCTAGAGAATTATCATTTTCTTTTTGTGCCAGTGTTACTGTTATTCTTCATGGTCCTCGATGAGTTCTTCCTCTGCTGGGACACTGAAGCATGAAACACCTTTCTTCTTTAGATAAAGCTTTTTCATTTTTTAAAATATGATTTCTAACAAGTCAAGTGAGAGGCTTTTCTTTTATTCCAGCAGGTGGCGCCACAGCACAAGTTTTTGGGTTTTTTTGCGTTCCCAAAGCACTGCAGATGGTGACTGCAGCCATGAAATTAAAAGACTCTTGCTCCTCAAAAGAAAAGCTATGAGAAATATAGACAGCATATTAAAAAGCAGAGACGTTACTTTGCTGACAAACGTCCATCTGGTCAAAGCTATGGTTTTTCCAGTAGTCATGTATGAATATGAGAGCTGAACCATAAAGAAGCCTGAGCGCCGAAGAACTGATGCTTCTGAACTAAACTGTTGGAGAAGACTCTTGAGAGTCCCTTGGACTGCAAGGAGATCCAACCAGTCCATCCTAAAGGAAATCAGTCCTGAAAATTCACTGGAAGGACTGATGCTGAAGCTGAAGCTCCAATACTTCGGCCACCTGATACGAAGAACTGACTCACTGGAAAAGACCCTGATGCTGGGAAAGCTTGAGGGCAGGAGAAGAAGGGGATGACAGAGGATAAGATGGTTGGATGGCATCACCGACTCAACAGACATGAGTTTGGGTAAGCTCTGGGAGTTGGTGATGGATAGGGAGGCCTGGCGTGCTGCGGTCCATGGGGTCGCAAAGAGTTGGACACGGCCGAGTGACTGAACTGCACTGCACTGCCTCTAGTTATACTAGAAGGCTGGCACCTTCCAGCCCTCCACTGCCCCTGCTGGAGGTGTGGCCTGGTGCCCTGTCGTCACTGCTTGTGCCTTCATGGTTGCTGACGCCTTGCTGCCATCACTGCCTAGGACTCCGGGGTGATGGGCTCTTCTGCTGTGTCACAGGATTGGCCTCCCATGGGAGCGGGTGGGGCTGAGGCCACCTGCATTTATGCCGTGTCTGGGGCTGTCAGGTTTAGGGATGCCCCCGCTGTGGTTGGGGGGTAGGGAGGGGAGAGCTGTGGGCCAGCCCCGCACCTGGAGGGAAGGGGTGGCAGGCCCTGCTGCCCAGTCCCTGTGGCTGCAGGCGGCTGATGAGGCCAGGAGGCTGGAGGTGTGTGTGCCGCCTCCCTGATGCCACTGGGTCCCGGGGGCTGTGGGCTTGGCCCCCAGGGCTGGGGATCCATGACTGCACGCACCGCCTCTACTATTCCCCCAGCTCCGCCTCCTCTGTGTGCTCCGATCGGCCCACCTCTAGATGGACAGATGTGCGGGACTGCGGTGGGTGTTTTACTGGCTGTAGATTGAAGGGGAGAGACCAAGGGAGTGTCCCATCCACCCTAATGCTGACGGCTCCACCTGCTCTTCACATCACAGCTCAGCCCTGTCCTCCCTCTGAACCCTTCCCCTAGGATGGCTTAGGTGCCCCCTCTCGACACCCCCACAGCCCCCGTGCCCCTCCCCTTGGGCTCCTGTCTCTTCACAGGTCTGTCTCCCCACAGACTGTCAGCATCTGATTCACTGGTGTCCTTACTGCCAATGCACTCTGGCATCCTCCGATTGAGGGCTGGCCAGAGCATTGCTCACGCCCTGCAGCTACCTGCACCCTGGTGGGAGGCGTGTTTGTCTCCTGGGACCCCTGGACCCTGGGCACCCTGGGGAGCACCCTGCCAGAAACCCCAGCTCACCAAGAACTGGACGACGTCCTCGGGCCTGTGCTTGGCCGACTTGAACGCAGCCAGCCGGGTGACCACCAGGATCTGGTATTCCACGTGCCCCGACATCATCTTGCCCCGCACCTCCTGGTGCTGCGGCACACTCAGGTCCAGGCCCGTGTGGACATTCTGAACTCGCCTGCCAGAGGGAGAGAAGGCAGAGGAAGGTCAGGTTCAAGTTCGCAGGCTTCTGGAGTGAAATGCTGCTAAGTCCTCAGGCGATCCCGTGGGCCTGGGTGCAAGGCCGCTCCGCTGGGCAAGTCCTCAGGGGTCCAACTCCAGGCTACCCGCCCCCCCACAAGCCAGCCCCTCCTGAAGCCTGGCTTCCCAGGCCAGGGCCCTACCTGTGGGTCCCTCAAGAACAAAGGCAGGTTCCCAGCAGGAAAACAGGTGACAGCAGAGAAGACGGGGCCCCTGGAAACAGCAGATTCTTTGCTCCGATGGTAAAGAATCTGCCTGCAATGCAGGAGACTTGAGTTTGATCTCTGGATCGGGAAGATGCCCCGGAGAAGGAATTGGCAACCCACTCCAGTATTCTTGCCTTTGAAATCCCATCGGCAGAGGAGTCTGGCGGGCATTCGTCCATGGGTTTGCAAAGACTCAGACACGACTGAATGACTAACGCAGGCTTTGAGTGGATACTTGGCAAAATGTTACAGCTCTTTTGAGAATTTTTAAATGCTACACAAATGCAATGAATCGCACATTGAGCAAAGAAGTTATGAAATGTTTTCCCTGAGGTGAGAAAAAAGGCTAAATGTATTCCTCATTCTGGGTGAGGGTATCATGGAGACCTGTGCTTGGTTTAAATATAAACCATGTTTAAACCTGGTTTAAACATAAACCCATGACAGGACACGCTGGACACAGCATTATCAGGGTCCAGACCTACCCTCTGCAGGGCAGGACTTTCAGAAGACAGGAAAGGAGAGGGCCCGAAGGGTTGGGCTGCCAGGGTGACAGCTGGGACATGGCCTGTTCCCCGCCCCAGAACTCTGCCCCAATCCGACACGTGACACCTTGCCCCCTGCACTCCTTCCACACAGGTCCCCACCCCCTTTCCACACCGGGCAAGTGACACCATACCACGATGCCATCTATCACCAGCTGGGAGGGCAACCCACCATACAGTCACCCACTACCAAATGTAGCAACCTCTACACCCACGGGCATTTTCACAGGGTGGAAGGCAGGGGTCCCCAACCCTGGACCACAGATGGTTGCTGGTCCAGGTTAGGAACCTGCCCGAACAACAGGAGGTGAGCAGCCTGCAAGGGAAGGAAGCTTCAACTGTGTTTACAGCCGCTCCCTGTGGCTCGCATTACCGCCTGAGCTCTGCCTCCTATCGATCAGGTGGCAGCACAATAAATGCAAGAAATGTAACAAATGTAATGAGACCAAATCATCCCCAAACCATCCCCACCCACCCCCACCCCGAATCCCTGGAAAAACTGTCTTCCACAAAACCTGTCCCTGGTTCCAAAAAGACTGGGAACTGCTGGTATAGTGAAAGAAAGTGAAAGCACGAATCACTGAGAAAGGCCAGGGCGAACTTCCCTTCAGGTGGGTGTTAAGTTCAGCATTCACGTGCCACTTGGAAAAGCAAACGATCAGCCTCCTTTCCTTTGGCCAATAACCAGACGAGCGTCCTGGCCTTCCCACCGGGCGCTAAGACCCTCCGCTCCTGGTGCTGTGACAGTGTGGCGGGCACAGGACAGCAGAGGGGACTAAAGGCTAGAGGCACCCCCGTGGGCTCTGCCGTGGGGACCTCACCTGTTGAAGGTGCTCCCGCGGCCCTACAGAGGGACATGGCCGCTGAGACCCGCTTCAGGTCAGGGAGTGTTCTGATCGCTCAGGCATGTCCGACTCTTTGCGACCCCATGGGCTATACAGTCCATGGAATTCTCCAGGCCAGAATACTGGAGTTGGTAGCCATTCCCTTCTCCAGGGGATCTTCCCAACCCAGGGATCGAACCAGGGTCTCCTATATTGCAGGCAGATTCTGTACCAGCTGAGCTATCAGGGAAGCCCAAAGTCAGGAAGTATGTTAGTTGCTCAGTCGTGTCCGACTTTTTGCAACCCCACGGGCTGTAGCCTGCAGGTTTCTCTGTTTATGGGATTCTCCAGGCAAGAATACTGGAGTAGATTGCCATTTCCTTTTCCAGAGGATCTTCCCGACCCAGGGATCGAACCCGGTTCTCCTGCATTGCAGGCAGATTCTTTACCGTTTGAGCTACAGGGAAGCAAACGCAAAAAGGGACTCACCAGTACTCGGGCTCAGCGGGTCAGAGGTGGAGCCAGGGTTCACTGCAGGCTGCCCCCTGCCTCCCTGCTGACCCGCACCCCCTAACAGCCCTGCTTACTGCTCCGTCTCGGAACACCACGCCAGACAGTTTCTCGGGGCTTCCATCCGTGACCCCCCTAACATTTCCACTGTACCTCTCGTCCTGTCGTGCTGCCCCAGTTGAGAGGCCCTGCCCCACGGCTGGGATCACAGACTCAGGTCCCCTGCCCACTCCCCTAAACCCACCAGTTCTCCATGTCCTGGGCACCAGAGTCCGGCAGCAGCAGGCCACTGGGCTAAACACACAGACACGCTGACCAAAGTGTTAGTGGCTCAGTCGTGTCCAACTCCTTATGGACAGCAGCCCACCAGGCTCCTCTGTCCATGGGATTCTCCAGGCAGGAATACTGGAGGGGGTTGCCACTCCCTTCTCCAGGGGATCTTCCTGACCCCAGGAACGAACCCCAAGTCTCCTACACTGCAGTTAGACGTGTTGACTGGTCCCACTTGAAATTCACGGCCACAACCAGTAAGCTGCGGTGCTGGGCCGGGCAACCCCAGCTTGGTCTCAATCTAGGGGCTTCTCCAAGTGTGGTCCTCGCCGCATGAGCCCCACCTGAGAGCTAGTGAGAAAGGCAGATCCAGGCTCTGCTAAATCAATCCTCACGTTAACAAGGCCCCCCCCCCCCCCCCCCCCCCCCCCCCCCCCCCCCCCCCCCCGGGACTCTCATGCCCATGAGCCTAATCCACTCTGTCTCCCACTCTCCTTGGGCCCCCAAGGAAACTTTTTTGTGAAGGGCCAGATAGTAAATATTTTCAGTTTTGCAGGCCATAGGGTCTCTATTACAACCAGACCCAACTCAGCCACTGTAGACCAAAAGCAGCCATAGATGGTACATAAACTGATTTAAAAAGTGAGTGGGGGGTAGGCTTTGGCCCATGGGTTTAGCCTGCCCACCTATACTCCAGACCAAACTTTCCGAACTGTGATGTGCCTTCCCAGTTCCCCCGGTGATCTTGTCAACACACAGATGCTGATCCAGCAAGGCCTGAGAGTCTGCATGTCTAACCAGCCACCAGATGATGCAGGTACTGCTCCCAGGACCCTCCCCCGCCCCCATCCCCCACTGCACAGAGTCCAAGTCGCCTAAATCTGCGACCCCCAGAACCTGCTCTCTCCCCACAACCCAGCTTCCTGTGTACTGAAAAAAGAGAAGCGGTGGGAGAACTTCCAAGCACATCCCTTCGCACCCACACCTGGCCTGCATCTGCCTCCCCTGCTGTTGGGGACAAACTGGCTGGCTCCTACCTGAGACAACCCCTCACCTACTCAAGGACGTCAAGTCTTCTGTCTTCTCTGTGCCATCAATGTCCCCTCCTTACTGGATCACTCCCACTTCTCTGACAAACCGAAGCTGTCCTTCCACCCAATCTCCCCCTTGAGCTACTGCTCCATTTCTGCTCCCTCTTCCAGCAAAACTTCTCAAGAGAATGGCGTCTCGGGTTCCTCTCCTCTCTGACCTTGAACTTTTTCTAACCTGTCTTTTGTTCTCATCCCGCAACCGAAACAGCCCATGCCCAGGTCACTAGTGACCTCCGTGTTCAGTTCAGTTCAGCCGCTCAGTCGTGTCCAACTCTTTGTGACCCCATGGGCTGCAGCACGCCAGGCTTCCTTGTCCATCACCAACTCCCAGAGCTTACTCAAACTCATATCCATTGAGTCGGTGATGCCATCCCACCATCTCATCGTCTGTCATCCCCTTCTCCCCCCGCCTTCAATCTTTCCCAGCATCAGGGTCTTTTCCAATGAGTCAGTTCTTCACATCAGGTGGCCAAAGTATTGGAGTTTCAGCTTCAGCATCAGTCTTTCCAATCAGGACTGATCTTCTTTAGGATGGACTGGTTGGATCTCTTTGATGTCCCAAAGGCTAGTTCTCCCTCACTTCTTACTCCAGAGGTATCTGATGGCCCCTCTCTGCTCCTCGAGGCTCTGGGACCCCTGCTCTCTCTCTCGGTTCTCCAAGCCCCCTGGCCACTCCTACTCAGCTTCCCTGGATGGTCCCCAATCCTGCCCCAAGTGCCCGCCTTACACCTTTTCTCTCACTCACCTTCCCCAGGGATCTCAAACATGTCCAAGGTTTTAAATCCCATCTATGAGCCAGTGGTCCCTCATTCCTCTCTGATCTGATCTCTCTGATCCCCTCAAAACCACACTCCTCCCAGCTGCCTGCCCAACGTCTCCACGTGGCTGTCAGAAAGCTTCTTAACGAACATGTCCAGACTAAGGGTGATTTTCACCTTCCTAAACCTGCTCCATTCATAGTCTTCTGGGCTGGTCCATTGCAATGTCCCTCTTTCAGGAATGCAAGACAAGTCTTGTAGTCAATCTTTCTTTCTTGCTCTCATGGCCCACATCTAATCATCAGCAACCCCTGAAAGCTCAATCTTCAAAATATAGCTAGAACCCAAACATTTCTAAGCCCCTCTGCCAGCATCAGCTCTCACATGGATGACTGCCAAGAGTCTCTTGAATGGTCTCCTCGCTGCACCCTGCTTGCCTCCTTTCCACTCAGCACAGCAGCCGAAGAACCTTTCTGGAGTCCAAAGCAGGTCCCACCATGCCCAGAGCCTCACCCCAGCCTGGGGAGCCTGTCCTGACTGTCCCCTGCCTCCAAGCCCCCAGATGTGGTAAAACTCTGCACCACATCACCCAACTCTCTGCTGGCTCACTGCACTGCAGTCACACTGGCCTCCTGGCTGGTGTGCAAACACCTCTTGCCCCAGGACATTGGCTCCTGCTGTCCCCTCTGCCTGGTACCCTCTTTCTTAAGGTTTCTCTTCCGCTTGTCAGGAATCTACCCAGCTGCCACTCTCTATCAGAAAGACACTTCTGGACCACACCATATAAAACAGCATTCATTCCTCCTAGCATCCCATTTCCCTACCACTTTATTTTCCTTTATACCATTTATCATCCCTGGCACACCATACATTTATCTATTATCCATCTACCCCACAAAAGCTCATGAGAGAGACTGTGTGTGGTTCACTACAGTATCCTAGAACTGCTCACCTGGCCTTCACCACCAGCACCTGCATTTGTTAAGAAGCCCTGTTCAGGTGGGGCAGAGAAGGAAGCCCCCTCACCCCCTTCCCAGGCTCCCAGCTCCAAGGTCACACCCCCACTGGTCTGCCGCTGGCCCTGCTCACACTTGCCAACCTCAAACCTCCTATCCACAGAAAAGGAAACTGAGGCTCAGTGAGAGGAGGTGATTCACGTGGCACTAGAGAAACCTCTTCTGCCAGCGAGGACACGACCAACCACCATGGAGAGGCGACCAAGCAGGTTCTGACATCAGAACCTTAAACAATCATACTTTTCCAGACCTGAAGTCACAAGGATGTTCAAATTACAGCTGGAAAAATTTTACATTCGTTTATGTAAGAGATTGATGTCTTAGCCTAAGATTTTGTGTAGGGGGAACAAGGGTGGAGTGTGTGAAAACACTTAAAATGAGTCACTTGACAAATGTGAGAAAGGGGGAGACGGTAAAACCACGCTCACCCCAGCCTTCAGCATCCCTCTTGTACTGAATCCCCCAGGCCTGGGTCAGGGTGGGCTCACCCTGACCCAGGGATCCTCTGCCTCCAGGGACCCTCTGGAGGCCTCTACGGTAACTGCACTTTTCCTGGGCTACCTGTTTGAGCAGCTGCCACCTGTCCCCTCCCATTCCCCTAGAGGACCTGGCCTCACGCTCCCCCACCTCGCAGAAGCCGGGTTACACCCTGCCATGTGTTCCCATGGCAACCTGAAGCCACCCTCACCCCCTAACCCGCTCAGCATCTGTCCTCAGCCAGTTTCCCCTGATGGGCCGAGCCCGGTCTGATTCACCGGGCCCCGGGCCTGGCACAGTCAACGCTGCCAGGATGCCTAAGTAGATCTTGGAAAAGAAAGGAAGGCAAGTCAGCGGGAAAGGGGTGAGGAAAACCCCTTCTTTGACCACCGCGCAGGATCGGCCGATCCAGGCCTTCCACTAGGTCTTGGATGAGTTCGTTACCCTCTAGAGGGACCACAGTTTCCCCATCTGTAAAACCGGGGAGGGGGGCGGGCGGCCTCTCCCGCAGGGCCAGGGAGCGGCCGAGCCCAGGTCCACGGCCAGCGGCGCTGGGGAAGCCGGGGGCCGGGCGGGATCCTCGGGACCCGCCGCCTCCTCCGCCCGGGACACCTAGGGCCGCGGCTCCCGGGCCCTCCCGACTCCACACGGCCCGAGCTGCGGCCGGGACGCGGGTCTGGCTCACCTGGAGGTGACGAGCACTGCCGGGGACTGCATGACGGCGAGGGGCTCCGGGCGGGGCGTGCGATCACGGGACCGCGGGCGCCGGCGTCGCCTCCGCCTAGTGGCCGCGGCTCTCGGCCGGAGGCGGCCGTGCTTTTCCAGGCCTTTCTGGAATTCTGGGAGGAGACTCAGGGCTGAGGACCGTGCGCGGGCTCGGCGCTGCTGGAGGCCCCGGCCGCGCCGAGAGCGCCCCCGTCCCGCACTCGAGTGGCCCGAGCCATCCCGAGGCGCGCGCGTCCTGGCTTGGGTCTGATGTCCCGGCGTTGTTTGTGACAGCGCCCCGTTCACTTTTAGGAGTGCCCCAAGCGTCCCGCTTCCGGGCGATAAATCATTCGGTTCTGCTTCCTTGGGGAGCGTTTTGGGGAGACAACCCAACCGTACACAGGGTCCCAAGAATGCTCTGAGAGATGTTTCCGGCGTCAAACGAGGTCAGAGAACCCATCAAACAAGATAAAACCGAGACCTCCGAGCGAGCGGGATGATCTAAAGAAACAGCAGTCGTCGGACAGCCCACCCCCCACCCGGAGGCCTTCCAGGGGCTTTCCTTAAAGAGGCCGACAGGCCCTTCCCAGCAAAAGCTCCTGAGAACTGAGTTTCTTCCGCCTCACCAAAGAAATGTTCTGAAGCTTGTTAAAATTGTAAGGAAGACTTTATTCAAGACTGTTGCAACAAGTCAACACTTTCCCGATGGGGAGAGAGCTCAGTCTCAGCCCTGAATACACCAAGCACAGTGGAACTGGAATCAGGGGGCAGGGGGAGGTCAGTGATGGAGGCATAGGTTGCCAAGGGTGAGGGTCCTTGCTGAACCCTGGCCTGAAGGCAGGCTAAGGGCTTAGACATCAACGGGTGGGAGGTGAGGAACTTGATCAGATACCAAGGGTGATCAGGTATCAAAGGGAGAGAGCCTTTCTCAACTGACTTAGCAGGATTCTTGCTGAGACTGGGCTGGGCAGGCCAGAGACAGGGCAGGCACCAAGGCCAAAGGCTCAGTTGAGAGGAGGGCTCAGAGAAGCCTAAAGTTTGGTCACAAAGAGGGTCTCTGTCTCCCAAAGTTTCCCTCTCAGAGAGCTGCTGACCACCTCCCTGCCCCCCGCCCACTCTCCAGGCACCATCTCCTCCTTTCTTCCCTTCCTAATGACACCCCCTTCCCCACACTGCTCCCCATCCTCCGGCTCTAAGAGGTGGGGCTTCTGCTGGACTTCATTCTCCCAAAATGCAGACTCTCCCAAATGCATTCTCCCAGACTGCCAGCCTCCTGCCCTTCCTGCACCACCCTGGAACTCTAATTACCAGTGTTCCAGCTCTTTGCAATCACCTGTAAAACACTGAGCTCAGGGCCTGGCTCACAGTGACATCGAATCCTGTAAGTGTTTGTGTTTCTGAGTTGCTTCAGTCGGGTCGGACTCTTCGTGACCCCATGGGCTGTAGCCCACCAGGCTCCTCTGTCCATGGGATTTTCCAGGCAAGAATACTGGAATGGGTTGCCATTCTCTACTCGAGGGGATCTTCACGACCCAGGGATGGAACCCAGGTCTCTTATTTCCTGCATCGGTAGGCGGGTTCTTTCCACTAGTGCCACCTGGGAAGCCCGTGTTGCTCTAATGTTCAGCAACTAAAATGACAGGTCTCTCTGCTTCTGCTACTAGTCAGAGTTCCTCACAAAGCCACTCTCCTGTCTCCTCATGACCTTTTCATTCATTCATTCATTCGACAGCTACTACTGGACTGGGCCTCTGTTCGGGACCCTGTGGAGGACCCTGAGCCATTTGTGACAAGGACACCATCGCCCAGGGCTCCCACAGTGCGCCCGTGGACTTGCTGTCTCCAGCTTCCCCTTTCCTGTCCTCTCTTCAAGGTTCTGGCTCCTTCCTACTGTCTGCTCACTCCCCTTTGTCCACAGAAGGTCTTCAGGGGGCCGCAGCTTGGTGGGTGATGGCGTCTGTGTCCTGCCTCCGGTGGCCGTCTTTGGGTCCACGGCTGGAGACCCTGACAGGTGAGTTCACAAAGCTGTTGGAGCTGAGTTAGGCTGAGCCTGCAGAGAAGGCAGCCCAGGAGGGTGCAGAGAAGCACGCAAGTTCCAGGGCAAGCACAGGTGGGAGCTGCAAAGAAGGGGACCCCGCACCCCCACCAGAGCTGGTAGCATGTTGGTCACCCGGGCCTTGCAGGCAGACTCGCCTCACCCCTGGCCCCAGGGTTCTGGAGCGCGCACTGAGGAGGTCTTGGCACACCCGGCGCCTGCCGAGAATCCCGCTGGTTCCCCATGAAAGAGTGAGCCCGTCCAGAGAACAACCCCATTTTCTGCCTCCGTGGGTCCCACACGCCCCTCTGTGGCTCCAGCGGATAATTGCATACAATGCATGGAATGTGGAATCTAAATCTGATATTTTCTGCTTCCTGCCTGACTCGAGGAGCCCTTTCCATGGCTGAAGCCGCAGTAACACAAACCACATTGCAAGGAACCTGAAGTCCCCCTTCCCACTGCCCTGGGAGGAACGCTCCAGGCCTCAGTTACCCCCTGCCCCAGGGAAGTCGCTGGACCTCAGGGCCAGTGGGGCAAGTTAGAGGCACCACAGCCCACAAGGAGTCTTATCTGAGCTCTGGTCAACCTTGCCCTGGTTTCTGGTGGGGTGGGACTTCTGGGGATCTGCTGATTTGTCACTGTTCTTTGTAGTGATGCTTTAGCGCTCTGGGGCGGGGGCTGGGTATCCCAAGTCGAGCAAGGCCACCACCTCATCTGTCCCTCAGCAAATGCTCCTGGGCACAGCTCTGGGGCTGGGACTTTATACCAGACCCAGAGGATGCAGGGCTCACCCGCCACTCAGGGACCCTTGGAGATGCCAATGCAAGTGCAGGCCCACAGAGCGCAGAGAAGGGCGCATAGCCAACTCATCCAGGGGTTGGGACATACAGGAGTCCTTCCAAGAGGAGGCGGTGCCAGACTCAGGACGTGAAAAAGAAGGTTTTGTCTCTTTGAGCCTTGGTTTTCTCATTGGTGAAATGAGCATGATGGAAATCTTTAATCCATAACACTGCTGTTACTTAAATGAGCTCACTTGTGACTGAAATGAGAGGAAATGTATGGCAGGCACCAAAAAGCCATTCACAGCCCCTTCCTGTTTGCCTCTTACTACCATAGTGGCTGCAGTACATGAGACTGCGAAGAGTCAGACACAACTGAACAACTGAAAGCGACCAGAGAGGCTAGACAGATACAGCATTCACGCTGCTAAGGAGCTGCAGTTAGAAGATGCTTTGTGACATAATTCTGGCCATATACATACAAGTTCCCGCAGAGGGTTTACTTGCTCAGAGAAAGCTCTTTGTACATTTCCGGTGCTGAGTCAAAGAATTTCCTGCCTTAAAGTGTTGCATCTGTCTGGAACTTCCCTGATGGTCCAGTAGCTAAGACTCCACGCTCCCAGTGCAAGGGACCGGGGTTCTATCCCTGATCAGGGATCTAGATCTCACATACTGCAACTAAGACCTGGTGCAGCCAAGTTAAATAAATAAACATATATTTTTTAAAAAACTGTTGCTGCTGTCACAGTGCTCTTGGGAAATTTCCCTGAACTTGCATTCCCACCAAGGGTATATATTAGAATGCCTACTTGTATCTCCTTTCACCAAGAATGCATTTTACGTTTTTCAGTTTTACTAACCTGAGAAGTAAATAAAAATGGTATTGTTTTAATTTGCAATGATTTGCTGGTGACTTTGGGGATTTTGATGTTGTCACCCTATATTTTTCTAAGTCTGTGTTCCCAGCCATCAGGATAAGCACTTTGACTAGAGCTCTCCAACTCTTTATTCAAGTCAGAAAAAAATGCCTGGGGGGACAGGACCCAGCTGGGGCTCTGCCCTAAATTAAGGTATTATTCAGAGGTGGATCAGCTACCTAGGAAAGTGGGGAACACACACAAAGGGGCTGCCATGCCTAAGGCCACGTCCCCGGTTTTGTAGGCAGCCTCACCCTTTGCAGCCTCAGATCCCAGCCTCCTGAAGATCTCACAGATGCCTTTGCCATGTGGACCAGAGAACCTGAGACAGACCATCCAGGGGATGACACCGGGTCCCCGGGTCAGCCGTGTGATGTTTGACACTGTGCTGTGGGAACATGAGACATTCTGGTCCCAGGGTCCTCATCCTCTGGAGTGTCTGCAAGATCTCACATCCTAGACTTGGGGACACATCTTCTGGGTCCTCCAAGCCTGTTCTTGACCTCTGTTAACCCCCTTTCCCAGGCAAAGAAGACAGTTTGGTTCTCTGTTCATTATGTGACTAGAAACTCAGGGCTCCTACCTGACAAATTGGAGGACCCGGCATTCCGAATCACTGCACATTCTATGTGTTTTTATTCTAAAAGGAGCTTATTTTGTTTCAATCTCAGAAAATCTAATGGAGGCATAGCTTCAGACTATTAATGTTCACGTTGGGCAAGTCGACAGAGAGGAAATGCCTGAAAGACCACACAGAAGAGACTGGATGGACAGGTTTGATCAGTCTTTGGACGGGTTAAACCAGGACTGACTTAATCAGAAAGCTGTAAAAGCCAGCATTTATTGAGCCAGGCACTATGGTATGGCTTTTACCTACTTTGTTTCCTTTATCCTTAGGTACACCTGACAGGTAGGAATCTCTGTCTCCATTTAAAGGTGGAGGATTAAAAAAAAAAAAAAGGTGGAGGATAATTAACTTAAGGTCACAAAACTAGTTCACTATAAAGGTGGTTTGGAAGCCAGTGTTTATCATGACTCCACCCTCTGGTTTCTTTCCCAACCTCAGTGGAGGTGTGTGGTCCTTGTCCCCTCAACTCCCAGGATACCTTAGAGCTCCAGGTAAACTGGTTTAAACTCAGGGTCCCCGTGCAGGGCTTCCTGAGTCTTCTCCCAGACTGCTTGCAAATCTGAGCAGGAATGGGCTTCAGTCACACTGTGGTGCTGTTATAACCAGTGACCAGCAGATGGCAGTATCCACCAGCCCTCTGCCATTTGTCCCAACCCCAAAGGAAGGGCCCTGAGAAACCCCTGTGAAACTTCTAGAAAGGAAACTATTCCACTCCCTTCTTCTCAGCCCCATCTCCTCCCCCAACTCAAGGGTGGGGCCACGCCAGTGGCTGGGGATGGGCTGCAGCCCACCCCGGTGTGGATGCCAGAGCTGTTGCCTGGGGTAACCTGGGGGAAGGCAAGCCCTGCATGGAGCATGGGAAATGCATCAGAGCTGGAGGAAGCCAGACCTGGGCATCAGATGGGGCTGAGCCAGAGGCCTGCGGGGATCGTCCCACATCCACAGCCCCACCCCTGGTCTTTCCGGGGGGGAGGTGGCTACAGCACATCTCCGGCTGAACAGGAAGCAACAGCGTGGATGTGGTGGTTGAGGGGTGTCCTCTGTGAACTGTTGTCACCATTCCCGGCCCTCCCAGGGACACCTTCTTTGGGGTCAGAGCCCCAGGATGATGCTGCCTCCTCACTGCTAACCCTTTCCAGCTCTGAATACATGAGCCTTGGCAGGTCCAAAGCGGGGGGCTTGCCACTGCCTGGGTCCTTAGCACTGGGCCCCATCCTCACCCGCTCCCCACCTCTCACAGGTGGACCCTTGGTGGACATTTGATTACCAGCCTCACTGGGGATCATTATCAGGGTCTGGATCAAAAGCCAGGAAGGGCCAAGGGACTTGAGGTCCAAGGTTAGAGGCCAGATTTGAATTCTCGTCTCTTGACTCTCAGGAACCATCAACATTATAGCCCAGGGGGGTATCTGTTTTACTTCCAAAATAGTGCTGGGCTGCAAGGGCCCAGAACCCCTAATGATGGACAGGGCAGGGGCTGAGCCCTCATCCATCCCCTTCCGCTCCTCCAGGGTACCCAGGGCAGAGCTGGGCTGAGGCCTTCTGAGCCACACAGAGAGCAAAGACACAGGATCACAGAGGGGCCTCACCTTCCCTGGCAGCTGTGATGCCAAATGCCAGGGTGCCGGTCCTTTTCCCTCCTTGGGGACTTGGCTGCCCTGCATGGGCAATGCAAGGTGCAGGGCAAGGCATCTCTAAGGAACCTTCTCTTGTCTTGTCATCAGGGGCTCCAGGCTGCGGCAGGGTGGGTCCAATTTCCAGTGGCTCGAGCTGGTAGAATCCAAGACTGATTTCCTAAGTGGCATCAACCCCAGTGCGCCAGCTCACGTTCCCAGGTGGCTTGTGAACTTCTGTCAGCAGAGGTGCCTTTCAGAGGTGTGGTGGTTCTCACAGGCACTGGGTACAGACTGCCTCACCTTCAGAACCATCAGGAGGCTACCTGAGACCAGGAGGGAGCTCCCGTCTCTGCAGGTATGCAAGCAGAGCCTCGGTAGCAGTTTCTGAAGAGTCAGGCATCATGAAAAGTTGGCCCAAAGAATCCCAAATATTCTTTTAGACATCCTGGAGTGTAAAGTCAAGTGGGCCTTAGGAACCATTACTATGAACAAAGCTAGTGGAGGTGATGGAATCCCTGCTGAGCTACTTCAGATCCTAAAAGACAATGCTGTGAAAGTGCTGCACTCAATATGTCAGCAAATTTGGAAAACTCAGCAGAGGCCACAGGACTGGAAAAGGTCAGTTTTCATCTCAATCCCAAAGAAGGGCAGCACCAAAGAATGTTCAAACTACTGCACAATTGTACTCATTTCACATGCTAGCAAGGTAATGCTCAAGATCTTTCAAGCTAGCCTTCAACAGTACATGAACTGAGAACTTCCAAATGTACAAGCTAGGTTTATAAAAAGCACAGTAACCAGAGATCAAATTGCCAACTTTCATTGGATCATAGAGAAAGCACAGAAATTTCAGAAAAACATCTACTACTGCTTCTTTGACTACACTAGAGTCTTTGACTGTGTGGATCACCACAAACTGTGCAAAATTCTTAAAGAGATGTGAATACCAAATCACCTTACATATCTCCTGAAAAACCAGCATGCAGGTCAAGAAGCAGCAGTTAGAACCGGACATGGAGCAACTGACTGGCTCAAAATTGGGAAAGAGTATGTAAAGGCTGTATATTGCCACTCTGCTTATTTAATTTATATGCAGAGTTCATCATGTGAAATGCCAGGCTGAATGAATCACCAGCTGGAATCAAGATTCCTGAAAGAAATATCAACAACCTCAGATATGCAGATGACGCCACCCATGAAGAGGAACTAAAGAGCCTCTTGATGAAGGTGAAAGAGGAGAGTGGAAAACTTGGCTTAAAACTCAACATTCAAACAAACTAAAATCATGGCATCAGGTCCCATCACTTCATGATAAATTGAAGGGGAAAAAGTGGAAACAGTGACAGATTTTATTTTCCTGGGCTCCAAAATCACTGCAGATGGCGACTGCATGCACAAAATTAAAAGACGCTTGCTCTTGGATGGAAGGCTATGACAAACCTAGACAGTGTATTAAAAAGTAGAGACATTACTTTGCTGACAAAGGTCCATATGGTCAAAGCTATGGTTTTTCCAGTAGTCATGTATGAATGTGAGAGTTGAACCATAAAGAAGCCTGAGTGCCAAAGAACTGATGCTTTTGAATTGTGGTGCTAGAGAAGACTCTTGAGAGTTCCTTGGACTGCAAGGAGATCCAATCAGTTAATCCTAAAGGAAATCAGTCCTGAATATTCATTGGAAGGAACTGATGCTGAAGCTGAAGCTCCAAAACTTTGGCCACCTGAGGCAAAGAACTGATTCATTGGGAAAGACCCTGATGCTGGGAAAGATTGAAGGTGGGAGAAGGGGACAACAGAGGATGAGATGGTTGGATGGCATCACCAACTCAATGAACATGAATCTGAGCAAACTCTGGGAGATAGTGAAGGACAGGGAAGCCTGGAGTGTTTCCTGGCCATGGGGTCATAAAGAGCCAGGTACAACTTAGCTATTGAGCAACAGCAGCAAATTCTTTCAAATCCTTGAACTATAGGACCTGAGTCAGAAACATGGTGGCCAGAGAAAGCAAACAGCTTCTGCAGAGGACAGATGAGTGGCCAAGTGCTCTCCAAGGCAAGGATCTGGGGTTGAGAATGTGGGGACCACTTCTCCCCACCCCAACTAAGAAACACCCATCCCCCAACCAGGCTGCCTCCCTGTCCTCCCCCACCAAGCCTCTCTGGCTTGGTGGAGCCAATTTCACCTCCGCTGTCTGAGGAGCTAACAGCTGAGGTCTGGAGTTCTTGGGACACGGTGGGGGGGGGGGGGGGTCTTCAGACTAATAAAGAACAGAAGTTGGAACTTGAAGCCCCTGGTTTTCCCCCCAACTGTCTCTAAGTTTCTTGCATCAGCTGCCCCGTGACTGCTGGACAACACAGGGGACTAGGAAGCCACCTTCAAAGTTGACCATGCCGCAGGTCGGGTACAACATCTCCAGGCCAGGATAGATATCTCCCACCTGCCTGGCCCATCTACCAAAGGCCCCCATGACCCTGGAGGAAGCTGCAAGTGAGCCCAGGGCTGGCCTGGCCCTGTGGGCCCCAGGAGGCCAGCCACCCACTCATCAGAAGGCCTCAACTTCATGAAGTCAGGGATGGCGGGTCAGGAACTCCTAGTGTCACGTTCCTGTCCTCAGGGAGGAAGTTGTCTTCACTCTAGATGGATGCTCAGTCACGGCTCCCAGGGAAGCCCTGGACAGGGCATGGGCGACCTGGTCCAAGTCGAGCTCTCGCCGTGAGCCTGATTCGCTAGGCCATCAGGTCGCTTCATGTAAACTCAGCTGTCAGACCACATGCTCCTACCGGCTGGTCCTGCTCTGAGCTCCTTGGATTCTCCAGCCCCGGGCAGGCCCTGCCGCTGCCGATGACAGACTGTGTTCAGTTGGCGGGCTCCCAGCTGATGCCAGAGGCAGGAAGGAGTCCTCAAGATGATGCTTTCATAAGCCTCAGCTGGACCTGAGAGTTCTCTTTCTGCCAAGAATTTTCATGAGAGCTTGCAGGGCAAGGCGGGGCCCTCTGCCTCTCCAATGGAGCTGAGGAGAGTGTTGCAGGTCACACCCCTATGAGCCCATCTCTGCTGGGAGCAGCCAAGTGTTGGGCAAAGACAGATGACTCCAGGCTCTGCCGCTCACCAGGTTACCTGCGGAAGGCGTTACATTTCTCTGTGACTCAACTGTGTCAATAAAATGGGAACACTAATACCTGAAGGGCTCCCCAGGTGGCTCAGTGGGTAAAGAATCTGCCTGCAATGTGGGAGACAGAGGAGATGCAGGTTTGAACCTTGGGTTGGGAAGACCCCCTGCAGAAGGAAATGGGAATCGACTCCAGTATTCTTGCTTGGGAAATCCCACAGACAGGAGAGCCTGGCGGGCTACAGTCCATGGGGTTGCAAAGAGTTGGATATACTGTAGCGATTGAGCAGGCGCACGCACACCTCACAGGACAGAGCAGTGGTGAGACGTAAGTGACATGAAGTCACAAGCAGTTAGCAACATGCCTGGTACTTAGTGGAGAAGGAAACGGCAAGCCATTCCAGTATTCCTGCCTGGAGAATCCCATGCACAGGGGAGCCTGGTGGGCTGCAGTCCATGGGCTCGCAAAGAGTCGGACAGGACTGAAGTGACTTAGCAGTAGCAGCTAGTACTTGGAGAACCATCATTATCATTTGGTTAGTGGTAACCATTGGTTACCATCATTATTTGAGAGGAAGGAGAGGGAGCCAGGCATGACCAAAACTTCCTTCTGCCTCTCTCCCTTCTGGGCTCTGCTTCAATGTGGCCACTGCTGGTCAAAAAGACCCCCAGGCCCTGATTCCCATCAGTTTATTATTGTTTTTTTGCCAGCATCAGGGCTTAGTTGTGGCACTTGAGTTAGTTGCTCTGCTGCATGTGAGATCTTAGTTCCCCAACCAGGGATCAAACCAGTGTCCCCTGCATTGCGAGACAAATTCTTAACCACTGGACTGCCAGGGAAGTCCCCCATCACTTTACTTTGAACCACCTCACAGTGCACCATATACTCAGAAGCATTTATGCATGTAGTGTTTACCATATCTTCTACCCTTACCAGAGCTCGGTGCACTTGTCCTCTGTATTGCTGAATTCACAATATACGGAGAGCCACTCATGGTTAAGTATTTACTGGAAAGAAGAAATGAATAGAGGGAGGGCTAAATGATGAAGAAATGCACTGTTGTCTGACTTGACAGACCAAGAAACACAGGTGACAGTGGCTGAGGCCTGGCTCAAGCCCCACACGTGATGGGTGGGGGCTCCAGCAGCAGCAGCCCACCCCCAGAACTCTCCTCCAGAGCCTTCCAGTGCCCAGAAGCTGCTGCTTTCTCAGCCATCATCACCCTAGGGATCCGGAACAGACTGGGAGGGGTGAGGCTCCGAGCCCCCTTTGTGCCCACCTGTTATCCTAGATCCACACCACCTTCCTGAATTGAGAATCTCCCCGTTTTACAGAGGGCTTCCCTGGTGGCTCAGAGGGTAAAGCATCTGCCTGTGATGCGGGAGATACAGATGAGGACATTCAGGCTCAAAGGAGCTTGCTGTCCCCGCTCCCCTAGGGACAGCAAGGGCCCAGGGGTTCCAACCCACTCCTCATTCCTAAGCCCCTGAGCGGCCTCAAGGTGGAGGTATCATGCAATCAGCAAAGGTTTATTTGGCACCTGCTCTGCCAGGCCAGTGCCAGGACCCTTCGGGTTCTCACCTTCACACAATTGGAGGAACTGAAGCCCAGACGATGCAATGGGGTCTGGTTGTTAACAGTAAAACTAAGACAAGAACCACGACTACTGGACTCCAGCTCAGAGATGCCAGAGTGTTTGCACAAATCAAGGTCTTGATGATATGCAAAACATCTGAAGACTGTTCACCGTGGCTGCAGGAAGAAAGGAAGCCAAGAAAGACAGCAGGGACCCAGTCGTTGCCTTCATAGAGACAGCTGTGGCAGTGGGGCCACTACTTTGACCAGTGTCTCTCTCTAGGGGGGCAGTTCTGCCAGGCAGCCTGCCTGGACTCCTGCAGGTCCGCTCTGTACCTGCACCACCAGAGAGGAAGATCCCTGACCGCGGCCTTGTCGAAGCTCTGGGTCCTTGGCCCCCAAATCCTGTTGGGTTAATGCAGCCCCAGTAATCCCAGCCCCCCACCGCCCTTCCTGCCCAGACATTCCCACGCGAACCTCGGGCTTTTTTACCCCCTCGTCCACCTGATCCGCTTGGGGTCTGACCCCTTGCCAGGTCTCTCCTGTCCCCCTAAATCCCAAGTGGTGAGTGACCCAAAGTCCCACGCTGAGCGGGCACTGCATCTTCGCAGTGGTCGGCAGGATGACGACTGGGGAGTTCACTTGGGAAGAAGCAGCCGGTACAAGGGAGTTTGGGAGCCTGGGGCCGCCGTTGGCCCAGGAGCTCCAGACGCCGGGCATCCTCAGTGGGTCGGAGTGCGCGGCGGCCAAGCAAGAGCGAAACTCCCGCGACTTTGGGTCCCAAGGCGTCTCATTGACACTGATCAGCTATTCAAACCGTGACTCACTGCCCCCGTCTAGATTTAGAGCTCGGTAGCAAATACAATGTTAAAAGAAAAAGATGCGCCTGCCCTGCTACGGGGATAGGTCAGGCTCCGGCCCTCTGTCCGTCCACCAACAGATCGTCCATTCGCTGAGCCTTCCGGCCCTCTACGGACAGATCTCCCGGCTGCTGGTGGAGCTGAGCCGACACCCAGACTTCTCTCCCCGGCGCATCTCTGTGAGATGCGGCCTCTGGGACCTACCTCGGCCGGCTGCGCACTCAAGCGCCCCGCCGCCCTTGGGACGGCGGTGTTGGGCGCCCCCTCCATCCTCCTCGCTACCCCCAAACCCAGCTCAAGAACCGCGGCCCGGGAAGGAAGTACAGAGGCGCTACCCCGAGGCTCTTCCCCGCCCGCCCTCCCGGCTCCAGGCGCGTCCCAACATACTCGAGAGCCCGTTTCCGTTCGCCGGGGCTCCCGTGGAAGCGGGCGGGCGGAAGGAGTCCTCACTGTCCACGCGCAGATGAACTTGAGCCGCTCCCGTGCGGGAACCCCCTCGTCACCCCGAAGTTGCCTTCGTAGTTCCTGAACTCCTTTAAGATCCTGGCGCCCGTCTAAGCGCGCGTTCCGCACCCTACCTTTGCTGGTTCGACCTTCGGTCCTCGTCCAGCTGTCTTTCCGGCCTGTCCTTTCAGGCCCCTAAACCCTCTCTTCCCTACCGTTCCTCTTTCCTGCTCCCGCCTCCCGCTCCGATCTTCGGAGGCTGTGCCAGGGTGGGGAACCGCGGACCCGTGAACAAAAACGCGCTTTGGCGGCGACCCCGCGCGCCCTGCGGCTTCTGTGCGTCCTCGTGGACTCTCTGTGCGCCCTGGCCACGGGATCGTGGCACTGACCGGCGGGGCGAGCCCCTCCGCCGCCCCACCTCCGGCGTCTCGGGCGGAATAGGAGCGGGGAGGGGGCGGGTGCTTCTCCGCAGGGGAGTGGGGAAGGAGCTGGGCGGGTACGCGCGAGGCCTCGGAGCCTCCGACTCCCGAGGGCGCATCTGGCCCCGGGCGCAGCGTGGGAGGAGGGGGGGGGTCCTCCTGGTCCCGGGGAAGCGAGGCGGGGCCCAGGTGGGTGGCGGGAGCCTCGGGTCGGTGACACTCGCCTGGCGAGAGTTGGGACGAAGACCTCGGGTGGGACAAGGAGGCTCCGGCCCGGGGCTCGGCTTTAGGCCGGAGTAGGGGGCGCGGCGCTGCGGCTCGAGCGTTCAGCAGGGGGCGCTGCTCCGGGCGTTGGACGGGGGTGGGGTGGGATGGGAGAGGGGGGGCCGCAGCTTGCAGCGCACACTTCCCCCATTATTAAACATTATGTTCAAAAGGCGCCGGGGGACTTCCCGAAGCCACGGAGCCCGCGCCGCCCGCCCGCCTGGCCCTCGGAGCCCATGGACCTGAGCGCGGCCGCCGCGCTGTGCCTCTGGCTGCTGAGCGCCTGCCGCCCCCGCGACGGGCTAGAAGCGGCCTCCTCGCCGCGGCTGCAGGCGCCTCCGCTGCCCTGGCCGCTGCGTCTCCCGGGCCCCGCGGTGCGCACCGCGCCACGGGCTCCGGCTTCAGGAACGGCTCGGTGGTGCCACACCAGTTCATGATGTCGCTTTACAGGAGCCTAGCCGGGAGGACTCCGGCCGGGCCAGTCGCCGCCTCCACCTCGGGATCTGGCCGCGCGGACACAGTCACCGGTTTCGCGGACCAGGCGACCGCAGGTACTGTGCCGTCACCGCGCCCGTCCACCCTGTCTTGAGCCCCAGCACAATTCCCCTGGGTGTGTGTTGGGGTGGGGACCTCGGTACCCGCACAGCCCAGGCTCAGGTGTTAGAAAGTTCTCCGAGGCCCACGCACCCGAGCTCGCAGCGCCTGGACTCTGGCTAGAACCGCGGCAGCTGGCGGGGGCCTGCGGCCCCCGAAGGCTCAGCCCGTTCTCTGCCCGGGCTACCCTGGCCCTGCCGGCCCCGCGGGTCCCTTCGAGGAGGCGGGCTGAGTTGGAGATCCGGAGAAGCAAGGAGGGGATTCGGCACAGAGCGACTGAGCAGTTGCGCGGCGATGGCTGCTTGATTGCTCTGCAGCTCCCAATCTTGCGGGGAGGGTCTTACAAACTGGGGGAAATGGAGGGGAACGCGGGACAGAGCGGGCATCAGACTAAAGTATAGGGCTCCGGAGAGGCTGGTGGCATCACCAGGTGAGAGGAGGGCGCTTCTCAGCAGGCTGGTCTGTGTGGAGGCGGGTGCCTGTCTGGTGCTGGGTCCCTGGGGAGGCAGAGGTAGAGGCGTGGAGCTCATGCAGGGAGGAGAGGAGGGCCCGCGAACCTGCAGGAATTCAGGCCTCTCTGGGCCAAGCACCCCACCTTGCTCCACCCTGAGCCATCCAAAGGTAGGACTTGGGTGAGGCAGTGGAGGTTGGGGAGTGTCATCTGGATTTTATTAATCTCTATTGAAGCCATTAGAGCAGACAGATAGGGAAAATTTAACTAATTTCAGGCGGAAATGCAAGTAATTTCGGCCTTAATTCTATCCAGCCAGAGACCCAGCCTGGAAGGCAGGAGGGAAAGAAAGGCAATAGGGCTGGGAAGTAAGTGCTGCTGCCACCCAGGCCCTGCCCGGGAGCCACTGAGGGGGTTCTATATGTCCGTCGCTAGCCTGGGAAAGCAGGTAGATGAGGGGCAGTAATCAGGTTTCTCATTCCCCCCAGCATACACACAGGGTCTACACAGGCTGCTTTATTTGGGAATGCAGGGACCGTCTGGGCCCAAATGGCCCTAAAGTCTGGTGGAAATTTTCAAGCATTCTCTGAGAGCCTGGGATGCCCCCTGGATGGGATGCTAGGGCACTTGTAGGGAGCCTGAGTCCTGCTGTGCAGACCCTGGGGAGGGGATCTCCCAGCTGTGGGAGAGGTGAGATGTGTCTGGCCCTGAGCTTGTAGAGGCACCAGATGCTCTTCCTTAGATCGAGTTAGGCCTGCAGTTGCCTCAGCCTGAGCTAAATCCCAGGAAATTTCGGAGAGGATGCAGCGGCAGAATCTCAAACCAGGGAGAGGCTTGCAGGGGAAGCTCAGAGAGAGTGCTGCTGCTCCCAAAGCTCCGGGGAGAAAGCATGGGGAGACGGAAGGAGCACTTTGCCCAGTGTCTCTCCTGCTTGCCTTCTGCCCTGAGCCTCCACTCACAGCACGGCTGCCTGAGGTCTCCAGAGGCCGCAGCAGCACCCACACTTCAGCCCCCAGGAGTCGAAGGCTTGGCGTCCAGTGGTTGGTGAGCAACACTCCAACAGTGGGGGGAGTCTGCACAGTCTCTACGCGTTTGGGGCAAAACGAAACCATATGACCTTCTTCAAAGGGAGCTCCTTATCTGCTGCTTGGTGGAATTTCAACTCTTTTCTTCCTTTCTGAGCCCCCAAAGAAAAAAGTGTCTACGACCAGAAGTAAAATCCCAGAGGCCGAGTTGTCGTAACGGAGGGAAAGACTAGGTCTGCGAGGGGACCAGCTGACCCTGGCAGGGTGACCAGTCGGTCCTCTGCCTTTCCGGCAGCAGGGCGTCCCGGCCGCTTCAAGCCCTTCCCAGAAAGTGGCTTGCGCTCCTTTGCCGCCTTTCCCCTCCGTCGGAGGTGGCGGAAACACTGGGAGAAGCTTGAGCCTGGAGTTCCCCATGGCGACCAGGGGCTGAGCCGGGCCCCTATTTGGGCCTCAGTTCCCCTCCGGCAGAGCGAGGAGGCTGGATGCGGGAAAGGGTGTTTGCAGCCCTGGGGACGCGTGCCCCTTCTGGACGAATCTCGAAGGCCTAGCCTGCACGGGAGATCGTGTCCGGCTGGAATGTCCAGGCAGGGCTAGGGAAGAGAAGCCCCAGAAGCAGTTTTCAGGGGACAAGAACTTTCGGTTTTCGCCCAACCGAGACTCTGAGACTCTCCTGGTGGATAAGGAGGGCCATAAGGAGCAGTCCCCGGACCGTGTCTGGCCTGGCCTCCACGTCTTGAAGAGGTGCACGACTTCTGATGCGCCCACCAGGCCTCTTTTTCTGCCACCGGCCGAAACTCTGGCCTCCGCCCTAGTCTTTGAAAACCCATGGCTCTGGGGCAGGCAGCCGAACTGTAGTCTCGGGTGCCGACGAGGTGCGCTAAGTTGGTTGGGTTGTCGGACATCAGTTAGCTCGAATCAAAGCTCACATCCCTATAACCTGAGGGACGGCTCCCTCTCTTTTGGGCCAGGCTGAAGGCTTTCGGACTGGAGTCGAGACGTCCGAGTGGGCGCCGGCCCTAGCGAGCCTTGCTCCCACATCCAGGGCAGTTGGGACTGTTCGCAGTTAGGGAGTGCACGTTTCGCTCTCACTCCATTCTTTCTCGGTCTCTGCCCGTCCCCTGCAGACGAATCGGCAGCCGAGACGGGCCTGAACTTCCTGTTCGACGTGTCCAGCCTTCCCGACGCAGACGAAGTGTTGGGCGCGGAGCTGCGCGTACTGCGCCGCGAGTCCGAAGCGCGGGGCCCGGGCAGCGCGAGTCCCCCGTTGCTGCTGCTGTCCACGTGCCCCAGCGCCGCGCGTGCCCCGCGCCTGCTGCACTCCCGGGCCGCCGAGTTCCTGGACGCCGCGCGCTGGGAGGTGTTCGACGTGGCAGACGCCTTACAGCGCCACCGCCGGGAACCGCGCCCCAGCCGCGCGTTCTGCCTCTCGCTGCGCGGAGTGGCGGGCTCGGCGCGGGTCCCGCTGGCACTGCGGCTGCTGGGCTTCGGTTCGCGGGGCGGCGGCGGCGCAGCGGCGGAGGAGCGCGCGCTGCTGGTGGTCTCTTCCCGCACGCAGAGGAAGGAGAGCCTGTTCCGAGAGATCCGCTCCCAGGCGCGCGCGCTCGGGGCCGCGCTGGCCGCGGAGCCGCCGCCAGATCCGGGGCCCGGCGTGTCGCTGTAGCCGCAAGCCCTTGCACGTGGACTTCAAGGAGCTGGGCTGGGACGACTGGATCATCGCGCCCCTGGACTACGAGGCGTACCACTGCGAGGGCGTGTGTGACTTCCCGCTGCGCTCGCACCTTGAGCCCACCAACCACGCCATCATTCAGACGCTGCTGAACTCCATGGCCCCGGATGCGGCGCCAGCCTCCTGCTGCGTGCCCGCGCGTCTCAGCCCTATCAGCATCCTTTACATCGACGCCGCCAACAACGTGGTCTACAAGCAATACGAGGACATGGTGGTGGAGGCGTGCGGCTGCAGGTAGCATGCGGGCCGGCTGGGCCAGGGCGGGGGCAGCCGCGCCACCCATGGACTCCCCGCTGAAAAGCAGCTTGGGGCCGAGCCTGTCGCCTAGCGGGGGTGCGCGTCCGAGTCTGACCCGGCGCCCTTGCGGAGGAGGGAGCGCGCACGTTCACATACCTGCACGCACAGCCTCACACTCCTCACTTGTGCACACGTGCACGGTGGACGTATCGGAAGGCCTTGGGAAGAGAGGATCTGACGCTACCGAAAGTCACAGGTCATATGTATTTTGCAAACAGATAACTATTTTTGCGCCCACTGCCCCCTTTTGGGGAGAGGAGGGGTTTGCGTTGCCGTGACAGTAACTGGCACTAAATCGAGTAGAACTGGGTTAGGGAATTGGGGGCTTCAGAGTGGGGGAACTAACGGGATACTCGAGTAAGTTTCATTTCACCCCCTTTTTGTTTCTGGCCAAGTGTGGGGCACAGCCGGCTGGGAGGGAGGGGGCAGAGTTCCTGGTGTTGCTCCTGGGGCAGACAGTAATGCCCTTTTTAAAAGTTTGCGTTGCATCCGCATCCGCGTCATTAACTCTGGAGAGGAACCGCTGCAAAAGGCCTCATGTTTTCCCCTTAACTTCCGAAAGCCTAACATTTACCAGTTTTGAAAGGGGAGTTTGTCGGAAAGACTGCATTGTGGAGCTTCCCAGATCTCTGCAAAGGTCAGCACCACTTTTTTAAATTTTTTAAAATCAATTCCAATTGGGAATGATCTAGAAAGTGGAAAAAACAATTTAGGAGGGGATAGGTGAGATGGGGGATAGGCTTTTAACTGCGGGTCTGATCTGACTTGTCATCCGGGTAGGGCGGTGTCTTCCAGGTCCTGCAGCTTCTAAGCTGGGTAGACCAGGTGGTCCTAGGGCCTTGGGGGGACACAGGAGGAAGTTGGTGCAATGTCTGGGGATTGGGAAAGGGGGTTGCTATGACTTTCCCTAAAGACCTGCCAGGAAGTTTTTCTAAGGAGCTGGGAGGAGGCTTCTAGGGTTGGAAAGAGGCACAGAGGTGGGTGGGGTGGGCAGGCTCCTGCCAAGGACGGAGGACTGGGGCTTGTCTGCCAGGTAGGCACAGCCCCCTCCAGATGGCACCCTCGGAGTGGCCCACATGTGCTTGTGCTTAGCTATCAAGTCTGTGTCGGCTTTTGCACGCTTTCACTGTGTTGTTGCTGTAGTTTTTGGCAGTGCGATAGTAACGGGAAGTGAAGCCACACAAAAGTGCTTTTGTGAGATTTCAGCTCCCCACAGCCCAGTGGTTCGGAGCAGGAGGAAGGTCGGTCCCTCCCCTCCTTGCTCCGTGGAGGGGCATCTGCAATTTCACTGCTGTGGTCCCTTCAGAAGGACCATGGTGTGGGGGCCAGAGGTGGAAGACTATCCCTGGTCTCTCTGTTTTGCCCCAAGAAGTCTTGCTGATAGTAGGATTGTCTGTCTCTGTAAAAGGGAGGCAGAACATGCCAGCCTCATTGTTTTATTTGGTGTATTTCTGCCTGGGGGCCCTCTGTGGCCTGTGTAAAAGATTGGGAGAAGGAAGAGAAACAGGTTGGATTTCACCTGCCTGGGGCTCCGAGGGCTTTCTTGAGCAACCCTGCAGCCCTCCTGGTCCTCCTGCTTAAGGCTGTGCTGGGCTTTCTCCTTTAGGGTCCCTGAGAGGCATTCTTCACTACTTTTCTTGACTTGGATGCCAAGATCCAGGGCGATTTATACAAATCTTCATTCTCAGAGATTACACTCTTAAAGAGAGATTTGAAAGATTTAGATACAACTCATTTATTTAAGGGTCCCCACCTGAGTCCTTTTTAATCTTTTAAAATCCCCCCAAAGGAGGAGAAAGCACATTTATAATGTGAATTTATATGCTGTGGCTATGTAAGTAGCTATCCATAACCAGAAAATGCAAGTCTCTTCACATTAAAACAAAAATCCCAAAGCAGCTGCTGCAGTACACTTCCAGTCAATTTCAGTGACAGGCAAACATCTATGAATTTTGCCAGAGAAGTGACACTCATTTTCTAAACTGTGATTTGAATAGTATTTGCATAGTGATTACTCTGAGACCCATCATAATGAAGAATTTTTTTTTTAAGGGCACTAAAGTATTAAAAGTCGTGATATTAGAAGTTTTAGAAAGGGAGCTGAAAAACTATACCTAAATACTATTTTGAAGAAATTCTAGGATATTTAATCTCTTTGGACAAAAGCAAACATTTGATACTTTGTTAATTACTAGGAGAAGCAAGTGGAGGGGAAGAAATGTCTTGATTTAGTCTGAGCTTTCTGTAACAGGAAAAAAAAAGTCCATTTTCTGTTTCCTCCTGTTGACTTGCTTCCACCAAGATGTAATGGAAGTGATGGAGGAAGTGGGGTGTCTCCCTCATCTTGAGTCCAGGCTGCACCCTATGGTGGGGGGCGTTGTCCTTAGTCAGTGACAGTTCCTTCGATGACCCCTGATGCCCTCAGTGTGGTGTTTATCAGATGAAAGGAATGCCACCTAGATTTCATCTGGAGCTGCAGAAACCCACCAGGGACCACCGGGTCCCGTCTCGGGCCTCTGTATCTCAGAGTTAAAAGGTGAACAGAGAGGTTGATGTGTTTTGCTTTGTAAAAAAGACAGCAAATGGGCCATCACACGTGGAGACAGACAGGTTTTTGCTGTGGAGATGTCGTTAAAATAGCTTTGTCAAGACGTGGACACAAGTGTTTTGCCTGCATGGTCAGTACCTTGTGCTGTCGTCTGCCTTCCAGGCAGTGGGGAGCGGGTCCGAATCAGCCAGCCGGGATCTCTGGTCCCCACGGAAGGGAGAACGGGCTGCTGACAGTCATGGACAGAGTGTCAGGACTGTGAGTGAAGGTGGCCCTCCTTTAGCCTGGGGTCCCCAAACTCTTCCTCTCAAAGGAGATACACCTTTCTATATTGCTGGGGGAGAATTGAGATCCTTCAAACCATTCTTCCTGCTAGAGAGGAGGGTATGGCATCACTGCCTGGGGAGCACAGGACAAGCCAGCTGGGGTGCCCAGGGGTGGTGCCAGGTCTGCCAGACACCCAGGCAGCCTGGTCAGTGCCGCTTGAAGCCAGACTTCCATATTAAGGGTGGCCCCAGCGCTGGCAAGCGGCTGTGCCCACCGATGCTGCGTGCTTGTCTGGTTGAATTCTGGGTTTCCAGGCAGCAGGACTGGGTCCTCTGGAGAGGGTGGCAGGCCTTGTCAGCTTAGCTTGGGGAAGCGGGCTTGAGCTGTGCCATTCATCCTGTACATGCTCCCCTTCGCCCTCCTGTCCTGGCCATTTTTGTTGATGCCATGGCAGGGGATGGAGAAGACAGGTGGACTGTGTGATCGGCGAGTCGCCCCGTCAAACCCTCTATGGGAACTTCTCCCTTGATGGCTCTCAGAGGAGGTGTCAGCAGGAGCAGAAACCTCGCTCCTATTTGTGCTCGAGAGAGATTGACTACCTTGTGGATGTCATCACAGTGTAACTCAAATCCTACAAGTCAATTATTCTGTTTGCAGTCTCATTCAAACTCAAAGCAGAAAATAACTAGGGACTGTAGACTGATTTTTTCCTTAAAGCAGAGACAAAAACTGAATGCTTTCCAAGAGTAGCACGTGCAAAATCCGACTGTCCGCTTGTTTGAACGTGGGCTCTAGAGAATCCAATGAGAGGATGAGAAAGCACTATAGCCTCCTCTGAACCACACCTGCTATCAGGGGCCTTAGGGATTCTCGGGACACAGTGCTTCCTGCAGGTCCAGAAAGCAGGGGCAGCTCAGTGGGCTTTGGGCAGAGGACTTCTGGGGGACGCCAGGTGGGCTGGGCTGGGAGGTGCTGGAAAGCAGGGTCCTAGAGGGCCTGGGTTGGGTCGTGCTTTCAGAGAGGGACTGGACTGGGGAGGAAAGAGGCAGGGCTGAGTGGCCGCAGAGGCTAGAGGCAGTGAGGCGGGAAAGCTGGACCACTCCACGGGGCTGTGGGCAGTGCTGGGGGCCGGGCCCACCGCGGAAGTGCCCGCAGGAAGGCCACGCTACTGGGCGTCTGGAGAAGTCTGGCAAGTCATGGGTGGTCACCTCCCTGCTCAGAGGGTCAGTAAAATGAGAAGCGCTTGGGTCCCGCGGTTTAGGATTGTCCTTCATCCCCAGAGCCCGTTCACATCATTCAAAGGCAGAGCAGACGTGACTTCCTGGAGAAGGTTCCCTCCAATCCAGCCCCAGAGCCGCTGTCACAGGTGCTGTAGCATTTTCCTCGTGTGTGTGCGTATGTGTGTGGGAGTGTGTCTGTTCATTACACTCTTAGCCTCCATTGGTGCTTCTTGGATGTTGCTCTGGTATCCTCCTGGGGCAAGGAAGGCCAAGAGTCCTGGGGGTTGGGCTCAGCTCACTAGAGCCATGACTTTTCTCCCCTCATGTCCCAGCTGAGGGGCGCTACCGGCCCTGCTGGAATTCTGCCTGTGCTCCAGGGTGGGTAGAGCCACACCTGGCTGAGATTTTTCTATGACCAAGTCTTGGGCGGGGGCTCCCATGCTGCGGGTACCCCTCTGGGAGAAGAGAACAGAAAAGATGGTGCCTTGCTGCAGCCCAGACAGGGGCCTGGGCTGTCGCGGAGTCCCTGGATGAGGCGGGCAAGCCCATCTGAGGGTGAACTGCTCCGCCAGGGCCCCACCTGGCCCTCAGCCACTTTGTTGCCGGGCCGGCGTGTGGCCCAGCTGCTGGGAGTGTGACCCAGGGGTAGACGCCAGGAAAGCTATGCTTCCTCTTCGTTTTGAAGCCTTGGACACCAGTGGCTGAACACTAAGGAACACGAGAAGGGAGGAGAAGAGAAAAAGATGTTATTTCTAACTTTTCAGACAGCTCCGCCTTTGGCTTCTGGAGCCTTCAGCCCTTTATTGGAGCAGGCTTCTTCCTCCTTTTGTGCTGTCCTGGACTTTAATCTGCACCCAGAGCTTAAAACTGCACAAACAGTTAACTCCCACCGAGGCTGTAGGTTAG